AATCTGAAAGTTTAACCCTTTATTTTCCGGGTTATTGGGGAAATTTCAGGTAAGTCCCCGAAACCATTTCATTAACAGAAAGGGGATGCTGTGGGGCTTATAATCAAGCCCCACAGCCCCAGGATCTCTGCCGCAATCTAGAGGCCTAAGTACCTATCGATAATATTATTTTGTAGGGCTTCCTAGTACACTGTACTAGAAAAAACATTCCCCAAAAAAGCTTTCTTCTGATTCTTAAGGCCCCTATANNAGCCCAGGGGCTGAGTAGGTAACCTTTAATAACCTGTTGGAATCCTACCACATGTTACCCTACACCCTAAGCCCTAAACCCTAAGCCCTAAACCCTAAGCCCTAGACCCTAAGCCCTAAACTGCCCTAAACCCTAAACCGAGCCCCTAAGTTAGGCGTCCGCCTGACCGTGAGCCGGAGCCATCCGGAGCTCAATGGCGTCTGGCGCTCAGGGAGGAAAACTCTCCGCACCGGCCCGGGCTCCTTTTTTAAGCCTTTGGTTTAGGGTTTAGGGTTTAGAGGGTTTAGGTTGTTTTTTTCTAGCGTTTGGGGGGTTTAGGAAGCACTTTTTGTGAATAGCGTTTGCGACTCAGGCTTGTTATTGAAGTTTTTTGCAGGGTGTAAAGCTTCTGATTTCGTAGGTTCTTGCTAGGGTGTGCAGGGTTTTGCAGGGTTTAGGGTTGCTGTTCTTCAGGTTCTTCAGGTGTTAAGGGTTGGTGGGGTTTAGGGTTTCGTCGGTTAGGGGGCTTGGGCTCTTAGAGTGGTTATTCGGGTTCTTGTAGGTGTTGTTGTTGTTGTGTCGGGTCCTGGCAGCTGTTCCATGATTGTGTGGCTTTCTTTGGGGCTTTTTGAGGTCGGACTTCTTGGTGACTTTCGTGGGGGGAGGGGATTGAGTCTTGATAAGGAGCTTCATTTAAGTACCAGGATAAGCAAACCAACATGATTTTTACTGCAGATCACCATAAAGATGGGAACTTAAAAGCTCAGTTCCACCAGAAAGAGCCTTATAAGCCCTATAGGGCCCTAAACTATCAAAATAATAGTAACAACAATAATATGGCCCCCCTAAAATTTAAGAAACTCTAGGCCAGCGGCACCGTTCTCTGCGTCGACCGGCCAAGTGACGGTGGCTTTGTCACGGCCCATTTCTCGGCCAGGGCTCTTTTTTTGTCTCTGATCAAAGTGACAGGGTTTAGGGTTTATAGGGCTTAGGGCCTTTAGGGGGTTTAGGGCT